TCATCACCAACCCACATCCATGAAAAAGCAGAGGAGGGAGATCAACATTAATGACATTAATAAGATGAAACAAACAAACCATACACGCACGCACACACACACACACACACACACACACACACGCACAGAAAAGGGACCAGATTATTTGTAATAAAAAAGCAAGCTGGGATGCCTGGGTGGCTCAGAGGGTTAGAGCCTCTGCCTTTGGCTCAGGTCATGATCCCAGGATCTTGGGATCTAGCCCTGCATCCGGCTCTCTGCTCAGCAGGGAGCCTGCTTCCCCCTCTCTCTCTGCCTGCCTCTCTGCCTACTTGTGATCTCTCTCTGTCAAATAAATAAATAAAATTCTTAAAAAAAAAAAGCAATGGGGCGCCTGGGTGGCTCAGTGGGTTAAAGCCTCTGCCTTCGGCTCAGGTCATGATCCCAGGGTCCTGGGATTGAGCCCCGCATCAGGCTCTCTGCTCAGCAGGGAGCCTGCTTCCCTTCCCCTCTCTGCCTGCCTCTCTGCCTACCTGTGATCTCTGTCAAATAAATAAATAAAATCTTTAAAAAAGAAAAAAAAAAAAAAGCAAGCTTACCTTTATGAAAATGTGATCCTGAGCATGGATTTTAAACATTAGGAGAGGGAAAGTATGATTGTGTCAGTATAGGATCCCCCTAAATTCCCATCCAACTTTCTAAGGAGTGGAACAACTGCAAAGATGTTTTGAACAACCATCCAGGAGTTAATCAAGAAAATATTCAAGCCATACAGCCTATTCAATGGACAGTTGTTAAAGATGGCAAATTGAATAATTTTATAAATACCTCGTTAGTCACTAAGCTTATGGTTAAGAGGGTGTCCGACTACAATGTATCAGCCTGTAAAAGACAAGCCTTTAGTAACCAACCAGCAAATAGCGACAGTAGTTACATCATGTGCCACGTAGACACATCAACACAGGACTGTTGTAAAGAGATGAGGGAAAGCATATGGACTTTATAGCACAAGGCTTTTTTAGCTGGATTTTCTTTCCCTCTCAGAAAATGTTAACATCTCAGTTTAAAGCTTAGTTTTATGCTGTCACCACAGGTATTTGTGCATTTTATTGCATTTTAAAAGCAAAATTCAGAATACTTCTTAAATCCATAACGTCACACATCAGTGTCGTTCTTAAGCTAAGAATTCTTTTTCCACTGTAAAGCTGTGCAAATTCCTGACTCTAACAGTTCAGGGCTGCTAAGTAATAATATATCTAACAACATGCTGTGCACTGGGAATGGGCTGAGAAATTCACGCATATTTTACCTAAACCTTTGAACATCACTGTGAGGTAGGAGCTATTTTATTATATCTCTTTTACTGGGGGGAAAGCTGAGTAACTTGCAGAGATCCATAGCTGGTAGGTGCTGGAGCCCGGATGAAACCAGGCTCCAGGACTCATGCACTGAACTGCAGAACTCTTCTCAAAAAAGGTACTGATGGAGAGGAAAGTGAAGGGGTTGGGGGTGACAGATCAGATCCCTGAGGAGAAGGTGGGGAAAAGGTTAGGTTAGAGACAGCGTTCTTTACCAAAGCTCAATTTCCAGGCCAGAAGTGGTTATCAAGGAATAAGAGTCTGAGCCACAGAAGTCGGTAAATGGAGGGGAAGGGGGTTCAAAGGGAAGACTAGGACCCGATGTGTGTGTGTGAGGGGTGACTGGAGAATTTGGAAATAACAAAACAAGTCTGTGAGCATGAAAGGGTACAATTGTGAGAAACCAAACAGCGCAGAAGACTCTTGGTGAAGGAGAAGGCAGATTCCTTGGAGAGCGGGTAGATGTGTGAGCTGGTGAGACTTGGTATAGATGTTCTCTTACTGTTTTCATTATGTCTACCTGCCCTCAACGTTTCCTCAGACAGTCCCTTCTTCTTCTGGAGGCTAACATCTGGGGCTTGGGGGTTCTTGTCTTGCTGTCTTGTTGTTTTATATGACTGAGCATTCAACTCCTGCATACTTAGATTTCTATAGTCTGGAAGAGTTCCTTCTTGGTCTATAGGAATTGTGTACCCATGAAAAATACTCCTCATGAGTTATCTTTTTCCACAGGTGAGCATTTAATACATAATTTTCAATTGTAAGTACCATGATCGACCTCTGAGATACAATATGTATTATTAATACTCTGAAATAGGTAACCAGAGCTCATTCGTTACAGTGTGTGTCATATATACTTAAATCTGGCCAAGAATATGTTTATACTTTCATGAGTATTATATTTGCTATATTTTCACAAGCATATGTTCTCCCCCAAAGCATCAAGCCCAGAAGCAATTAAGAATTGTAGAGCACTCCTCTAATTTAAATGTGCATAATTTAAACATCAGCCTGATAGAACTGTAACTTATTTTAGCCAACCTGTTCGTTATCTCTGCCCTACCCATCACACTTTCATTATTGTTTTTTATTCTCTCAGTCCTGAGAAAATGATCTTGCATTACGTGCCAATGCCTCATAGAGTGTGTATAAAAAACATCAAAGGGTTTTTTAAATTTCCATTTTGTTTTGAATGCAGGTATCATGAAACTTTGTATCTATTTTACAGTGCAAAGAGTCAAAACTATAAAGAAAAGAGCTAGAATCAAAAATTATGAAAATCTGGAATATATAGGACTTCAAGAAACTCATTACCATAATTTTACAAGGATTTTTAAAAGAAATATTTTCTAAAGATACATATAAAGTTATGCTATAGAAGTCTCGTTTCAAATTATCTTTTCTGATGATTCTGTATTTTGTTACTAAAAACAAAAGGTTTTTTTAGAGTGGACCCACGGGCTTCCATAAAGGGCTAGGGCTGAGGTACAAAACCCTATTAAAGAGGGCTTTGTTCCTTCTGCCCTTGGTGCCTTGCCCTTCCTTGGAAAGAAAGGAAAGACTTCAGGCAGGCTCCGTCCATATGCCCAGGAAGTGCCTTTGTCCTCCTCACTGTGCAAATCTGGTTTGGAGCTGTGTATACTGTATGAAGCCATGTTTGAAATAAGATTCCTAGTGAACATTTTCCTGCGTGCAATGCCAACTAGCTACCTGCTTTTAGTTACTAACTGAGCATTAACTCCCTCATAGTGCCATCGTCATAAACCCCAGTCCAGGTCCTACTGTCTACTATTAAAGGATTAGACAATTATGCAGTGTTTGACCAGACTTTGAAAATGTCTGATTTGGGAGAGAATAGTGCCCACATATACCTTAATGGAAAGAATGGCCAGATCTTCGGCAATGTTAGGACAGCTAAAAGAACTTAATAACCAGCTCAGAATGTGTTCCCAACAAAGAAAGAGATATACTTGGTAGAAACAAAAATATAAAAAATTAGAATTCTTCTGTTGGCAGAGCATGTGTATTTATACATTCTTCTGTGTTTAGGTCAGTGGGTAGAGAACACTTCCTGGAAGGACCGTAGGACACAAATGTTTTCAATTTGAGCTTGTACGTTTCATCTAATTGGTCCCTGGGACCAGGTTCACTGCCCTGGAGGGGCTTGGCTTAATCTTTCAAACACCCTAACGAATTTCAGGTTTGGGACAGAAATGTCCCAGAAATGGCTGCCCCATATCAGACAATCATGTGAACTTGGAATTGTTTCCCATGAATATCTTTAGGAACTATGTAATTCCAGTCTGGGTAGTGGGTCCTTCTGCCATCTCCAACCGTTGGTAACTGCCCTTGCTTGGGGTACTCAGTGCTTGCCTGCTTTTAAAACTTAGATTCGGAGACTGCTTCATTTTTGAAGGGACTATTATGGGAGAAAATATGGCAAAGGTAATCTGAGTGCAACCGGATGTATCAAAGGATATTTACAAATAACCTTAAAGCAACCTGAAAAGATTGGTTTGGGCTGAATCCACCTGTTTTTAGTTTCCCTCCAAGCTGTTTGAAGTAAGAGAAAATTCAAAAGTCAATTTTCATACCTTTTTATATTGATGCATCTAGCAATAGTTTAGGGATTTTATTGGCTCTGATCCAGCCACCCCCCAAAAAAGTCAGGGAAGTTGAATAGAGAAAGTTGTTTTGTGTGGATGGGGAAGAAGTAAGCTAATGAAGTCACAGACATTCCTTAGAAGGGCAGGCCCTGAGCTCTGTGTGGCCCCACCCCAGCTTGCACACCTTTGCAGTGCTTACAAGACTTGACCCTCCCTAGTGGTGAAGACAGGTGCAGTGACTCAGCTTTGCACAGGTCTTGCCTAGACACTCGGAATCAGTCACACTTTGGTTGGGCCAGTAGGGGGGGAAATGTTGATTTCATGAATTCTTTCATCCGAAAGATTGACCATAGTTTCCATATGGAGTGGGAGAATTTCTGTTTCTATGTGTCATGCTCTATTCCTCCCAGTTATGCCTTTCATCGTCTGTGGGACTCTGCACAGGTTGTGCAAGGGTCCCGTCTGGACCTCAGTTCCCTCCTTCCTAACTAAAGGCAGGGCGGGCCAGATGATCTCCTAAGGCCCCTTCCCGCTCCCAGGTCTGACGTTCAGTTTCTTCTGCATGTAAGAGGTTGGGGCATCAACTGCTTTGGTCTTCTAGCACCTACTTGGGTTGTCCCGCTGATAAACTCGCAGCCAACGAATGAATGAACAGCAAAGCTCAAGTCCAGCAGAAAGTTTGCTTTCTGCATGCTGGCACAATCAGCGGAAATCCTGGCTGATGAGGCATTCCTGAGTACTAGGCAGAGGGTGTCAGATGACAGTGCCCCATTAGTGCTGGATGCTTCCTGGGGACAGTGGCCTGTTTGAGATCACAAAAAGCAGCATGAGGTGGTCCTGCATATAGTCCGGCATCAGAAGGGCTCGGGTTCCTCCAGACTCCTGACCATCCCCGCCGACCCAAGCGCCCGAGCCTTATACTTCCGCAAGCTGCCTCACAGCTCTCCAACTTGGGTTCGGTTATCTTTCAGATGAAGATAACATCTCCTTTTCCAACTGGAAAGCTTAAAGATAATGTCTTTGCACGTTGTCTAGCCAACAGGCGGAGCTCAATAAATAGGTAACTAGAACTGGGAATGTGTGAAAACAAAACACACACACACACACGAGATAACTTCATCTGAAAGCCAAGGGGGAGAAAACTAACACCTGTGTAGTGAGTAACAGTTCACAGAGGCCTTGAGGTCAGAATATCTTTTCGTCCTCACGACCTGGCTTTGCAGGTGCAGAATGCTTGCAAGGTCCCAAGGTCCCAACACCGGGAAACAATGAAGTGGAGATTTCAGTTCCAACTGCAAACTGTTGTGTCCCTTTTATAATATGCTACCAGCACACCATTACGTTTGGTTGATATATTTTATGGTTAGGTTTAAGACTCTGAGGATTCTGAAAAAGGAAATAAAGATCAGAAATGGCCATTGTTACCTGTGGGGGGTTCTCCTTATGCTCCCCCCCCCTTTTTTTTCTATGACTACAACTATACTGACTGTCATTTAAGACAAATCTAGGAAACCTTGGCCAGTTGCTCCTCACTTTGTGGGATCTTAATTCCGAAACAGCTCCTGGGGATAGCTGGAAGATTTGAATATCTCTGGGATGTCACTGTCCAGTTTCGAAATAATTTTATAAATGGGTTTCTTCCAGGAAGGATCTGAGTCTTTCCCCGCGGAGACAGCCCTGAAGAACTCCTGTAACGTCAAGCTGGCAACTTCCAAGAAGCAATCTGGGACCTGCATTCCCAGAGAGACCCACAAGAAAGAAAAGACATGAGGCCGAGGAGACCCAGTGCCATGCAGACCTCGATGCTGACTGCTCCTTGGGTAGTGGGCTGATAAGAGCATCTCTGCTCTCCTGGCTCTCGATTTCTGCAGCCCTAAGAATCCCCCGCTTTCTCTCATCAACTTCAAACCTTAAAATGATTGTCCCCATCGGACACCCCTAGGAAAAGCCTATTAGGGACACTCCCTTTGTAGGAGGAGCTGATTCTACTAATGGTGGTGATTTTAGTAAGTGGGAAACTCTTGACTCCAATTGAAATTAAATTTGTGGTTCAAAGATCTTTAATATGCTTTCCCTTAGTGCCTAATGAGGAAAGGCATCCCCCGCCCAAGTTTACAGCTGTTGTACCTCATCCCACTATCTTTTGGGACTGGATCCAAAAGACTTGGAATCATTCCTGCTTCCAAAGCCAAGCACGAGGCTGAAGGGGGACTCAAGAATGTGTTCCAGGACCTCACGCAGACTGGCACCATAAATGATGGGGAGTCCCACAGTCCTCCAAATTCAGCCTGGCCCAGGGCTTGCCACCACTGCGTGCCAAATGCACACTGTGTGCCCCACCCACACGCCCTTTCCCCTACGAGCCTCAGAAAGGAGGCTTAGGTTTCCAAACATATCCTGACAGACATTTGGTAGCTGCCAACAGTTCTTCCCTTTCTCAGAGGTATCCGAATCAAGGAGAAAGGCAGGGCGAGGGAAGTGTAGCCAGTGACCTCCAGAACGGGCGGCCAACCCAGCCGAGCTGTCAGCTGCCCACAGGACATGCGTGTCTGCATTAGGGGTTCTCATCCATGACATCTAGGCCACCTGCTCACCCTCGACTGATGCTTTACCTCTAAGGTGCCACCAGTGTGCCTTCACAGAGATCCCCAGAGGACCGAGAGCCTTGACTACTGTTTATTTCAGTATTTCCAGAAAGAAAGGATCTGAGGTGACTTGCCATGAAAGGCCCACAATTAAAACTGTCCAAGTGAGAATAAAGAACCAAATGATGAAACGAACAGAAATTGTAAAGAAAACGGGGGCCAAGTCTAGGCGCTACCACAGCCGGGCATTTAGTTGTGGGCCTCCTGGCGCTAAGGGGAAAAGGTCAACAAGCTGTGGCATTTTCACTGCAGAGTGTTAGATCTAAAACGGCACAACATCTGGTCAACTTCTGTTTTAGTTTCAGAATGAAGACCGCCTGTATATTCATCTTCTGATAGCCACCCACTGCCTCAGAGAAGATGTTGAGTCTCGTCTTTGTGGGTGATACAAACATTGGCCCCAGGCTGCCCCCAGCTCTCAGTGACTTAAGGACAGACACAGAAGGGGATCTTTTCTAAAACTCAATCACGAAGGGAAGGCACTCATCGGACCTCATGGGATCCAAGTACATGGTCTTACCTCAAAATCGTTTCCCTTGTTATAGTGCATATTGAGAGCTCGAAAAAGCTCTGAGTCACGGAGTACCACCAGCATCTTGGGATTTGTGACACCATCTGTAGTCGCTTGCCGGGCAAATTTCTCCATCTGGATGTAATAAAACTCCCTAAAGTTGCTGAACCACTTGATCATCTGGGAGGTTATGCAGCGGTTGAACTGTACAAACAACAGGGTCCATCAGGTCTTTTGCCAAAAACATCACGTTTGCTGTGAGGTGCTCAGAGTCAGAACTGTCAACTTCCGGTTCAACACAGGGCTTAGTGAGGATGGCTTCAACCACCATTCAAAAGGGCTTTCTTTTTTTAGGGGGGCGCGGGGCAGAGAGAGAGAGAGAGAATCTTAGGCAGGCTCCATGCCTAGTGCAGAGCCCAACCCCGGGTTCAGTCTCACAACCCTGAGTTCATGACCTGAGCTGAAATCAAGAGTCAAATGCTTAACTGATTGAGCTACCCAGGCACCCCCAAAAGGGCTTTCTTTTTTAAAAAAAATTTTATTTTTTATTAACACAGGATGTGTTATTAGCCCCAGGGCTACGGGTCTGTGCAAAAGGGCTTTTTAAAAAAAAAAAAAAAGAAGCCACAGTGTTTTCCTAGTCTATTCACTTGTATACAGAAAAATCTCAATTAGCTATAATGTCTCTTAGAAAATACTGTTTTTGATATACTGGATTTATGTCCTTTTTTTTTTAACCCATGAAAAACTTGCCATGGTATCTAGGGTAACTTTGGGAGAGTCTGGGGTCAAGGCCAGATGCTTCCGCTGCACCTGGGCAGATTACATGGCAGCCCCAGAGCCTTCTGCCAGGTCAAGGGTGAAAGGAAGGGATAAGGGTATAGAGCAGAGAGCCGTTCATTGCCACCCTGGAGTTGCAGAATGAATTGAAATCAGAGTGTGGTGCAGGGGCCAGCTGAGCAACTGAATATGAGGGAAAGATCTGGAAAACACAAAGATGTAGATACAAAGTATTACCCACCCTATCCTAACACCCACGGTAGAGGAGGCCCTCAGAAACTTGATGGGAACAGGCAAGGTCTGGTTCAAACCATCAGAGCTTTCTCTTCCTTATTGTCATGCTTGATCTCTGCGCACCTTCAGTTTCGAAATCCAGCACTTTGGATGTAAACATGACAGTGCCTGACTCTATATATTCTTCCTTTCTCGTGGTCTGCCCAGCAGAGACAAAACACGAGGCCAAAGATGCCATTACCTTCCCTCCCCATGTGTTTCTGGGTATATCTACGGCTCAAAATCTTAAAATTCAGATACCCAACCTTTGTGGTCCAAGGTTATTCATGCAGATTCTCAGCCCCAGGACTGGAAATTGTACTGATTCCAGCAGCAACATGAAGGGGACCTGAGGGGCACGTATGATGACCTAGGACTTGCCTCCCACTGGCCAAAACCCACTGCCTCTTGGGAGTTTTGCGAGGCTTTCAGAGGTGAGGAATGACTTTACCTGGACATCAGGGAAGTAAGCCTTCAAGAGGTTGGAGCTGGGGTAGCGTGTGAAGAAAAACATCAGTTTGGCCTTCTTCAAGTGACCAGGATTTAGGCCCTCCTGGATTTATCTCAGCGTCAAGGAAAATAACATCAGTTTATCAAATAATTGTATCACTTTATCCAAATAATGAATTGTCCTGTTCCTTATGGTTTCTATTTTATTTTTTCTAGCTGAATGGTGTATTAGTTCCATTTTTCTGTCTCTAGCAAGTCTGATCAGATAAGCTTTTTCTTAGGGTGCCTGGCTGGCTCAGTCAGTAGAACATGGGACTCTCAATCTTGGGGTCTTGAGTTCAAGACCCAGGTTGGGCCTAGAGCTTACTGGGGAAAAAAAAAAATCTTTTTTCAGATGCTGAATAGCATATATATACTGTAAATTTTCAGAATTAAAAAAAATTTATGTGTAAAATTCTATGGCATATACGACATCAAATACAGCTTGTCATACTTTGTGCATGTCTACTTTCAGAATAGAATGGGAAGAGGGGCACCTGGGTGGCTCAGTGGGTTAAAGCCTCTGCCTTCGGCTCAGGCCATGATCCTAGGGTCCTAGGATTGAGCCCCATATCAGGCTCTCTGCTTAGCGGGGAGCCTGCTTCCCCCTCTCTCTCTGCCTGCCTCTCTGCCTACTTGTGATCTCTGTCTGTCAAATAAATGAATAAAATCTTTAAAAAAAAAATAGAATGGGAAGAGATGGCAGGTCTGTCCCAGATTTCAAAACCCCATGTAGAGGTTTCTTTCCCCTTCTCTGCCTCAGTTTCCCCATCTGTAAAAGGAGGCAAACCAACTAGATAGCCCCCGTTCTGCTCTCATAGCTCCCTTGGCAGCATTTAAGCCAACAAACCAGCCTACGGGCAAGATCCCAGTTTGCTTCGGCTCCGGAAGCTTGAACTTCTCGGCTGCACCTGTTCCCCGTGTGCCTGGCAGAGCTCTCCCTCACCCCGCCCAGCTCAGCTTGGACACCCCTCCTCTGTGAAATATTTCCCTGCTGAATTAGGCCTTCCTTACCCTGGGCTACCAAGGCTCTTTGTACAAACCTCTGTTGTAGCAATGGCCTGACTGGAAATTTTACTGCATGTGTGTCTCCCCATTTAGACTGTGAGCTCCTTGAGGGCAAGGACCTTATCCTTTCCTCTTTGTATCCCACGTGGCTAGCCCGGTGCTAGGAACATAGTAGGTGCTCAATAAATGATTGTTGGCTGAAAGAATGAATGAGTGATTAGATGGTCAACCTGAACCCGTTATACTCCAACCCATACCTCACTCTGAGACAGATCTCTTCTCCTCTAACAAGAGCAGGGAGCTGTGGTGTGGCGGCCTAATGCCAGCGTGGGAGGGAAATAAAGATTCTTACATAAGAACTCATAGCATTCCCGGGGACAGGCATGGGGCTGGGTGAGAAGCATTACGCAGAGTCATGTTGGAGCTCAGGTCAGAGAGCTGTACCTTTAGGACAATGAAGACTTCTCAGTAGGGATATATCAGTTTAGCCAAAGGAGACCAATGAATTACAGCCACAGTTGGCCATGGCTCCCAGGCGGCTGCCCAGAGGACCCCTGCCTGGGCCTCGTTGGACCCACTTCTTATCCTTCCTAAAGGTTCACAAACGCTGTGGAAAGAAGGCTGGATTTAGGAGTCCAAAGACCCAGTTTCGGACACCTATTAGGGGCAAGCCCCTTACCTTCTCTGGGCCTCATTTCTAAAATGTAAGCGTAGTAGTAAAAGCGTGTGCCCAGGGTGTGACCCCTGGCTCCGCAGGTGTCTGTCTTGGGACTTTCTGCAGATTAGTTTGCTTCTCTGTCCCTGCCTCTCGATCTCGAGTGGAGGCTTGAAGATGGTGGGGTCACACCAGCCCACAGCCTCCTCTCTGAAACGCTGGGCCAAATGGGCTTCAGATTTCAGAATCTGTTCCCGAGTAAGGGTCACACGGTGCATCTGCCATAGGTCAGCCTAGGGCCAGGGCGGGGTCCGCGGCAGCAGTGCGAAACCCAATACAGATTTCCCCAGCAAAGTGGGATAGTCGATCGACAGCCTCCGATCAGTGCAGGTCAGGCTTTGCCGCCAAAACCGTCTCCATCAGCCTTAGGGGGAAGACATCACCGGGATTTTCAGGGCTCTCGAGTCTCAGAATTGCGGCTAAGAGGTGGTGGACGGTCCCGGCGAACTGCCGCTTCCCTGCCGGCCACCGGGAAGGCGCGCCGCGCGGAGGTGCTGCCCCCTGCCGTCTGGTCACCGCGCCTGCTCTGCCTGTTGGGTCGGGCGGGGTGCGAACGTGAACGTTCTTTTTCGCTTCAAAGTAGCTTGCTCTTAGCGGCTGTCGCCGCCCAGAAGAACACATCGCTGATGCTGGAGTGTAGGCAACCGGAATGAGGGACCAGCTGGGGAACCAGAATGCCGCCTGGGGGCCCCAAACCATTCCATGCAGCCGGGACCCGCGGTTGGGCCTCCAAACCTCCCAAAGCGGAGCCCAGTCTTCATTTTACGGGGCAAGGTTAGGCACACAGTAGGCGCCCGAGAAGTATCAGCATCTGCCCTGCCAAGGGAAGAACCTCTGGGGTTGGGTCCCTTAGGTTCTTCCACCATGGCCCTAATTTTAACCAAGTGGCCTCTTACCAAAGGCCCAGACAGGTGGGCCTTGCCACACAGGGCGATTTCCTGACGATCTCTCTCTACACCTCCAAGAAGCTTTCCTGCTGCCTGAGAGGCAGTAGTGGCCGGCGAGGTGTTCCTGCGTTGGTTTTAGAGCTGCTGGATGCCTGCCTGCCTGCCTGCGCAGGGCGAGGCGGTGTCCAAGCTTTAGGCGTGTTTCCAACACCTGCGACCAGAAGAGGGCGCTCGTGGTATTTAGAACACAAGAGCCCGCCGCCGTGTGGCCCTGAGCGGGTCCCCACCCCGTCCTGTCGCCCTTCATACAGCTTCCCAGGTTGCTCACACCTGGGTATGCAGCTCCACGGACGCACTGACCTCTGGAGACTCAATTATAGGCCGCCCGTGAGAAGGAGCGGTGTGAGCTGCGCTCGCTAAAAAAGCAACATCCTATCTAATGTCAGGAGCTTTAGCGCTGCAAGGACGACTGCTGGAAGACGATCTTGCCTCACGTGCGTTTGAGGCTGCAGACCTTCTCCTCTTAGAGCTTCACATAGGACATCAGCATGCTAAAGGCTCTGAGAAGTCCCGCAGTCAAACTACCCAGTAATAGAAATAACCAGTATTTAACAACCAGTGTTTAAATAACCAGTAGCAATAATCTAGTATTTATCCAAGCTGCTTTTTCCCTAACTTAACAACCATTAATATCCTGAGGGAGGGTTACTCTGGGCAGCACTCTTTGAGAGAGTGGGGTCTGCCTGAGGATTGCAGTAAGATCCAGATCCCTACAGACCTGCCCGGGCCCCTCAGCCTTCCCCATGCCGGCGCCATCCCACCAGATGCCCAGACCCCAAGTTCTAGTCCTCTCACTTGCCGCTTAGAAGCTGTTCCTTAAACTAAAGGCTTCTTACCCCTCCCAGCTGCCTCTTGGGTCTAGTCCCTCAGGAAACTGTCCCCTATTCCATCTGCCTCAGAAGTTTCAGGTCCCTCATGTCTTTCCCATGAATTATCTGGACAATGCAGGCTTTTTTGCCTGCGGAGCCAAGAGATTGGGAAGCCGGGCGTCAGACAAGGTCATTCCTTCGACCCTTTGCCTAGGCGTACAGGCTGCTGACAACCAAATTATGGTGTTTTTCCTTCCGTTGGGTATTTATCCTATTTTGGAAGCCCTTCTGAGTTTACAAACAAATGAAACTCTTTCAGACTCAAAGGAAAGAGTCAATAATGGTAGAATCCAGTATATCACACAAGAAGGTAGATGAACTTTCCCAGCATCCTTAAATGCCAGAAGGTCGCCACCCTCTTGTCAGAACCTGGTAACTGAGCCACAGGGAAGGAGGGCCTGGAAGCAAGCATTAAGGAGGCCATCGGGAAAGCAAAGCTATTTAATGCCATGGAGTTATTTGTCCCCACCTCCCCTCACCTTCCAGGCTTCCTCTTTCTCTAGTAAAGGATATGTGGACTGAAGGAAAAGGCAGCACATCGGGGACAGCCTGCAGGCCACCCTGTTCCATCTTCACCGAGGGAAGAACGGGCAGTCTTTCCAGACAGGGGGAAGCGAAGGGCAAGGCGTACTGCTGCTGGCTCAGAACCGATGGCCGCAGTTTGACCGCTCCCCACGGTCGCAGGCCGGACTCTGAGGAGCAATGACTTTGGGGAGTTGAGTCGTGGGGAAGACTGCTGCTCCAGTGACCACTGGGTCTGTGACCCAGCAGCTGGCCAAGAGTCTGATTTTCCTGGATATGGGAAGGCGCAGTCAAAGGACAGTTTGCTGGGGGACCCTGATAGGGTGTGGGGATCATCCTCAGAAAGACAGGGTACCTGGGAGGGTCCAGAGACTTGGCCAGTGAGAAGTTTTGCAACAGGACCCCGGTCTGTGGCTGGGCCCTCCTGGGCAAAGTGGCCAGAGGAAATAGGTCTTTACAGGCACCTCTCTCAGGAGGTGAGGGCTCACTTCTCCCCTCTGGCACAAGCTCCTGGAAGCTTCTGCCCAGCCGAGTCAGGTGGCCTGGTGGATCCAACAGTACCTTTTGTAATACTGAGTCCACAGCTTGGGACACTGCCCCGGTCAGTTCTTTCCTCAGAATCTCCAGCAAAGCCTGTGTTCCACAGGGAAGGAACCTGGGCTCCTCAGACTGGTGTTCCGCCTCAGAGGCTCTGTGTTTTTTCTCCTTGGGGTGGTCCCCACGGGAACCCTGGTAGTGGTCACTGTCCAGAGCCTGGGGCCTATGTCCATAACCATTCCTCTGCTGTGCCCTCAGAGGGCCCTTGTCTGTCTCGGAGCCCCCTGGGTCCTGGGCTGTGTCCCTGGGCTCAGCAGCCCGCAGGATGTGCTTTTGTAAATGTCTTAGCTGTTGCTTCAGCTGATGGAGCTGTTCTCTTACCCGAGGGCCCCCTTTCCGGCTGCCGTGTTCCCCGGCAGGGCCTGGCTTCAGGGGGCCTTGCTGCATGGGAAGGCTCTGCTTCCTCTTCCGCTCCCGGGCCTTCCCTGGGCAACAGGCGCCGTCCCTGGCTCGGGCCTTGCCGGGCGCCGGAGCCGGAGTGTGAGGAGAGAGGCACATGCCTTGGACGATGGTCTCCACCCTGGCCCTCTTTGCTTGGATGTTCTCATCCCAAAACCAGTCAGGGTCGGCGAAGCTGGAGCTGGGGCCGGGGCTCCAGGCAAAGGGGGAGTCTCTGCCCTTCTCTCGGGGGGCTGGGCTTCTCTTACCTTCCATACAGGGCTTTGGCAGGCGGGAGCAAGCCTGGGACAGAGGAGGAAGCAAGCCAGAGTTTGGATCCAGCTCCTGGCTAAACAGACACTTGCTCAGAGCCGTGGCTCCCTGAGGGAGTCCCTTTTCCGAATGTCCTCAACGGGAGGGGTACCCAGAGCGAGCCTGGGGCGGGGGATGTCCCACCTCTGCACTCAGAAGGATGAGAAGCAGCTGTCAAGGACTCAGACTCCGTGATGCCAGAGCTTACAAACCTGAGCCGACTCTGGAATGAGAGACGGGAAGAAAACAACAGCATAGGTGATTCTGAGCTGTGCTTTTCAAACCTGAAGGTGGAAACAAAGCACCTAGAGAGGTTGTTACAGTGCGGATTCGGCTTCAGCAGGGCTCGGGTGGGGCAGATTCTGTATTTCTGTCCAGTTCCTGGGTGATGCTGCGCTGCTGGTTGGGATCCTACTATAAGAACATTCCTGGGGCACCTGGGTAGCTCAGTCAGCTGAGCATCTGCCTTCAGCTCGGGTCATGGTCCCAGGGTCCCGGGATTGACCCCCGCATCGGGGTCCCTGCTCAGCTGGGAGCCTCTCCCTCTGTCTGCTGCTCCCCCTGCTTGTGCTCTCTCCCTCTTTCTGTCAAATAAATAAATCTTAAAAAAAGAAAAGAAAAAAAAAAGAAACATTCCTAAGAGTGACCCTTCAGGGAGAAATTCTCTTGCTAGGGCATAACAATAGAATAATAATAATAATAACAATAATAATAATAATTGTAATAGCAGCAGCTAACTGCACCACTGGCATTGTGCCAAGAACTTTACATCCATTACCCGATTTAATTCTCATAACTCCCTGAGCGTGTTGTCATTCTCACTTAAGAGATAAGGAAACAGGCTCAGAGAAGTTAAGTAATCCTCCTAAGGTCATACCACAAGTAAGTGGCAGGCTGGAGTCAAAACAAGGTTTATCTGATTCAGAGTAACTTTCTCAGTGTCTACACCACAACCCCCCCACCCCCTGCCCCCAATCCGGCACTTGTTTAAAATAGCAAATTCTGGAATCCCCACCTGCCCTGCACTGTCAGAATCCCTCTGTGGGACAGGGAATCTGCATTTGAAACCCGAAAACCCAAGTTTGAGAACCAGCTGTCCTGCTCCCGGAAGAATCAGATTCTGCCTTCATTGTTCACGTTTAACGACTGTTTATTAAGCCCCTCCTATGCGCCGGGCCTTAGAGAGACAGTGATGCACCAGCAGAATCCTGCTCTCTTGAGGCTGGCTGTCCCTCAGGGGAAGAGGGAATGAACACGTCTGTTTCCAGGTCGTGATTCCTGCTAAGAAGGAAAAGTGCAATAAGGGGCTGTAAGTTGGGATGCGGGTGTGGGAAGAAGCGGGGAACTATTTTAGGAAAGCCTGCCTAAAGCTGTTATTTCCCCCCACAAAGTATCAAAATACACTGTACTTGAATCAGGAGGCCTCAGATAGCAAGTTTAAAGCACTTCAAGTTTACCGAACATTTGTCCATGCCACCTCATTGCACCTGGTGCTAAACTTGAATTGAATGTCAGTGCCATTCACCCATTTTACAGATGAGGAAACTGAGGCTCAGTGAGGTTGAGATTGGCTCTTAGCCACTAAGATTCTAAATCCTTTGACACAACCACACTCTAGCTGCCACCCTGGAGATGGAAAGACCTATATAAGGGGCTGACTTCGGGGCTCCTTAGCACAGTCAGTTAATTGTCTGACTCTTGGTGTTGGCTCAAGTCCCGATCTCAGGATCTTGAGATGGAGCCCTGGGTCCGGCTCTCCTGAGGACTATCTCTCCCTCTCCCTCTGACCCTCCCCTCTGTTCTCTCTCTCTCAAATCAATAAATCTTTAAAAAGAGAAAAAGAGACTGACTTCTCTGTCGGTCAAGCAGATGCTTCCTTTCCTATAAGAGGTAAATGAATTTCTTTCCTCCAGAAATTTCCACTCTCCTTTACTTCGCTTGCACAAATGCTGGCAGGAGAGAGACTGCTTGTTTCCTTCCTACTCTGAATCTGAAGCTTACTTGGAGTTCTTTACCCTGGGTAAAGTTGGCTTTTCAGGAGCCTCTGGGTTCTTGTATGGACATGGCCACAGCCTCCACCTGGATCTGCCGGGAGACCAGAGTCCTGGACAAGCTCTCCGTGAGCCATGCTGCTCCGGGCGCCAGGGCGGAGGGTGGGAGGTGGTGGCAGCTGCTCAGCCATCATGGGGAAAATGCTGCTGAAAGGGAGGTTCTTGGGTCAGAATCATTGGAAGGATTTTGCTTTGAGTAAGACATTTGTAAATTACTAAAATAAAATAGATCATTTGCCAAATTAATGTACATTTTAAAATGTATCGCTAAATTCTTTTCAACAGCTTGGATGGTTTACCACCTCTTGAAGAGAAACACGTTTGTTAACTTCCTGTAATCATTTGACAATGAATATATATTATTTGTATAATATGAAAAAGCGATTTTTACATCAGCTCTTTCTTACCATCTGCTAGGCATACCTGGGTCATCCATTAACACGCATTGCGTGCTTTCTAACTAATAATGATCCCTGAACTGGCAGAATTGATATTTTAACCAAGAGAGACTCGCAGTAATACAAACTATATATATTTTCAGTTAAGTACCTTCCAAAAAGAAGAGGAGATTGGTTATGATTATTCTAACTGTTGAGTGAACACCTCCTGCTTAAATTCAACATTTTCAAGCCCAAACTCCGCAGCTGCCCCTCGGTCTCACCTCGCACACTACCGATCTTGTTTAAGCTGGAAGCAGGCGAGTCTCCTTGACTCCTCCCTGACTTCTCATCCTCAACACTGATTTTGGTTACCACGCCTGATCATTTATGGCAAAAAAAAAAAAAATTGCTCTGGACTACATTCCACCTTGCTTTTCCCATTACACTTTCTTGATTCAGGGTCTTGGGCTTTTCACCTAGACAATTCCAATACCTCGTGATGGTCGCCCATCCTCTAGCCTGTTCTCCCTGTGGTGCTTCTACATTCATTCATTCATTCATTCATTCAACAAACGTGGATCGAGTGTTGATAACCAAATCCTCTGCCCACGTGGATCTAACATTCATGCAAAGGGAGCCAGATGTCATGACATACTAGGTAAGGGAGGCCATTGTGCTAGGGTCTCGTTGGCCACTGTGAAGATGTCAGCCTTTATTCTGACATAAATGAGGACCCGCTGGATGGTTATAAGTACTATGACCTGACTCAGTTTGAAAGGATCATTCTTTCTTGGATGAAGGATAGGCTGGGAGTGGGGAGCAAGGGTTGAAACAGCCTTAGGATGCTCTCCGCCTCTAGGCATCTAGGCAGTGACCTGGAGGGTAATGATGGAGAGGAGGTGTCTTGGGCCAGGACGGTAGTAATGCAAGCGGGAAGTTACATCAGATCCTGGGTGTACATTGAATGTGGAGCCCATGAAATTTGCTAACAGATTGGAATTTGCTAACAAATTTGGAGCACAAAGAGAAATAAAGTACCACCAACAATGACTCCAAAGCATTTGGCCTGAGTGACTTGAAGGACCAAATTGCACGAGCTGTGTCAGGAGGACTCTAGAGAAGAGGGTTTGGGGAGGAGTTTCAGGAGCTTTGTTTTGCACGTGTTGAGTTTGAGATAATTATGAGACATCTAAATGAAGATGTTGAGAAAGCAGTTGGATAAGGAAGCCTGGGGACTCAGTGAACAGATCTGGGCTAAAAATATAAGGTTGATGGTTGTCAACAGGCAGGTGTATGAGTTCACCAAGGAATGGATGTACACAGAGGGGAGGAGGGTGCCAAGGTCCGAGTCCTGGGACACAGCAACATAAAGAGGCTGGGGTAGAAGGGGAACGAGTCGAGGATGAGAAGGAGCAATCAGTGAGCTAGGAAGAAATCTAGGGGTGTGGGAGCTCCTGAGAGCCAAGCAAAGGAAGTGTTTCTAGGAGCAGGGAGAGGTCAAGTCACATAAGGATTGGTAGTAACACAGAGGCATCCGAGAGCCTGATCAGAGAAGTTTTGGTGGAATGCAAGGAGAAAAAACCCCGTCACAGTGGATTTAAGGCAAAAGACAAGAGAAGGAATTGGTGACATTAACTCTGACAACTCTTTCAAGGAGCTCTGCAGAGAGGAGAGAAATGGGACCGTGGCTGGAAGGAGAAATGGGGTGAAGAGAGGGGATCTCAAGATAGAAGAAACGCCAGCATATGTGTAGGCTAATGGTGATGCTGTAGAAAGAGAGTCTGTTAATGTAGGCCAGAGGGGGAGAATTTCTGGAACCCGTCCTTGCGTAGGAAGATGGGGCAAGATGTGATGCCAGGGGAGAGATCGATTTTAGAGAAGCAAAACCCTGGTTCCCCCATGGTAGTGGGGGAAGGCAGTGTACGTGGACAAGAGCTGCCAGGTGGGTGGCTGCGGTGGTGGGAGCCGGTGGAAATTCCCTTTCGATTATCCCTGTTCCATCAGCAACTTTGGCATCAGCATTAATTTTCTAAAACACGGGTCTGCTTATGGCCCTCCATGGAATCAGTCTTTGCTAGTGGCCTGTTGAATCGAAGGTAGAGAGGTCTCAGTTCCTCCGGAGCCACTGTCCTTGAAACGTGCCCCGTTGCAAGCGTTGCCACTGAGCTATCCTGGGCTCTGTGCTCCCTGAGCATGCCAAGCTCCTTTACGAGTCCAGGTCTTGGTCCCATCTGCCTGGAAGGCCCCGCTCTCACTTTTTTACCTGACGAACACCTACTCCTTTTCCAAAATCCAAATGAAATGTCACCTCCTCTCCGAAGTACTCAATGTCATTTCTCCTTTATTTATTTTTTATTTTTTTAAAGATTTTATCTATTTCTTTGAGAAAGAGAGAGCACAGAGGGAGAGTGGGAGGGAGAAGCGGACTCCCCACTGGGCAAGGAGCCTGATGCGATGTGGGACTCCATTCCAAGACCCCGAGGTCACGACCTGAGCTGGAGGCAGACGCCCAACTGACTGAGCCACCTGGGCGCTCTGTCTCTTCACCTTCAGACTGTGACCCCAGCTAGTGCCTGCCTGGCTTCCAATGGTTGCCAAGTCGATGGTCGCTGATGCAGCTGCATAAATTTTCTGTGTGTACTTCATATAGACTGATTTTTGTCTCTTCATTAGACATACATTATTTCAGATCTTTCTAGCATCTACAGGGAGCAAAGCCAAGACAGAGACAGATAGACAGATAGATAGGGCATAAAGCCACCAGCTTGGCCAAATCTCCTTTGTGGTTTATCTAAGGCTTTGTTCTCTGAGGTTCCATGTAGTCTGTGTGCCCCAGAAGGCAGAACTATGGAGGTAAGAGAAGAACTCGGTGTGCTCAATGAAGCAACAGCCAGCGGGAATGTCTTGAGGCCAGAAACTAGAAATCCAGCCAGCCCCCGCTGTGGTTAGATGCCCAGAGATGATGACGTCCATCTCTGTAGGACAATCATGGAAACTCTGCATCTGGGCAGCTGAGAAACAGGAAGCCTGCGTGCTGGGTCCGCGTGCCACCCAGAGCTCTTTACCTGGGTGTGGCATGAAGCAGCAATGTTTTCTATTTAAAAATTAACCAGCAGCGCACTCACATTCACTGATGACAGAGCCATTGCCACAACCCTTTAAAAATAGCTTTACTGTGTTTCTTAGATGATGAAAGCAATTAAGGGTCGTTTTGCTCGCCAAATATAGAAATGTACTGAAAAAAAAAAAAGAAAGGCACCAATAAAGCTGTCTCCTAGGGAAAAAAAAGTCACAGTTAACATTTTGGTGTTTGTCATTATTTTCCATACTTTTTTTCTCTGTGT